GGATGGATGGATGGATGGATGGATGGATGGATGGATGGATGGAGGCAATCTTCTGCATTTTACAATTGGGGCATCACCACCACCTAGAAGGCCCTCTTTCTGGTGGCCGTTGGATACACCTTAGTTTGGTATCTCTAAGGTTACAGTCCTATACACATTTCCTTGACATAAGAAACTTCCTTCTAAATTGCCTAACATAGGATTGCATTGTGCAGGCAGCAATTGCAAGAGTTCTTTTCATAACTTGATTATGGTAGGAGTAGATTTCTCATGGTTTGCTAAGGGATTCATCTGTGGAATTGCTTTATTATCAGTTTGTTTCCTGAACTCCAGTTTAATGGGAAAACATTTCTAGAATTAATTCTAGATTCAGTCTATGCAGAGGGAATAAGTAATAGCCTTGAAGGACAGGAAGAAGAGCCTCCAGCAAGGCAGATAAGCAGGGCTTGAACCCATGCCAAGAAACTAATTTGAGAAAACCACTCAGACAAGATAAAGTGTGGGAGGGGGGAAGCACATTCAGATGTGCAAGAGTCCATTACTATAGTTATTACAATAACAGTAGTCCTGACCCATATGGCATTGGTTTCTTAGTCTGGTTTACCTTGTAGGGATCACAGTCTATGCATTGCATGGCACAGTTTTGAAAAGATACTCTAACACTATCCATCTACTGGATAGTGAATATCATCTATTGGAGTGTGTACTTAAGATTTCTTCATCTATGTATTTAAAGGAACAAAATACATTTTCTATATGAGTGAATGTAACATAAATCAGCGATACATGCTATCACATCATAGCTGATTTTCTTTTTTGTTTGCTATTTATTTTGTTTCTTTACAGGGGTTATCTATATAGGGGTTATCAATACAAACAATAATTAATCATGCCTTATTAAAATATAGTATAAATCTAAATATAATTCTAACTATAGTATATGTCATAATAATATTATATATCATATAAATATAAATATATTTTTATATAATTGAAGGTGTGATCATTCACTGGGCACTTCAAAAGGAGGAAATAAAAGATAACATACAGTATATGAGCATAGTGAATGAATGAAGACACAAATAATCTAGAACAGCTAAAAGTTATGCCTCACTCCATATATGTCCTCCTTTGTAGAAAATAATAATAAGGCAGAGGAGGAAGAGGATTTCTAATGTACCAGTTCCATTGTGAGATAGATAGATAGATAGATAGATAGATAGATAGATAGATAGATAGATAGATAGATAGATAGATATTCTGAACTCCAAAATCAAAACAGTAATTCAGTTGCAGAAGCATTCTAATTCATGTCAAGCCCTGGATTTTAATTATTTTAGCACAAAAAGCCCTGAATGTAGTTAGGTTAATTAAGCATGCAGAATAACTCCAGATTTTCAGAATGACGCAATCAGTTTATTTAGAAAAGCAAAACAAAAGAAAGGCAGTAAATGGAATCGAGACACTTTAATGAACCAAAGAGCAAAAGCCCAGTTTTCAGGAAGAAATCAGAACATCTGCTACCCTAAATTGCCTCTTTTTATGTGTAATAACAGTGAATCGTGATGCTTCTGTTTTGTATGTACTCAGGTTTATGAAGCTTGATGTGCTCTGCCATAATTTTGAAAATGAATGCTCACATAATGGTGAGATGTATGTACAGTGCAGAGTTAGGTTGTA